TGCAGTGTAAAGAGAGCACCTCGGAGTGGGGACACCCTAACTCCTGCCCCTAGTGACTACAAGGTCGGGGATTAAGCCCCAGGAAACCTGGGCCCAGCCTCGTTGGGGTTTCGAGGGCTCTGCTACTCAGGAGAGTGGAGGGGGAGCCCTCAGGATCAGGGAGGCCGTGGGGTAAAGGAAGTGGGAGCGGGGACTCAGATCCTTTCGCTGGTCCATTTCACCGGGGTGTATAGAAGCCAGGAAAGTTCCCCACAATAGCGGGACCATTCCCCCGCTTACACCAAGACAACGTGGCTTCAACCATTTCTGCAAGGGGGCAAAAAGCCAGGTAAGGTTCCCCCTCATGCCCAGACCCCCCCCAATCCCATCACTTCCCTCTTCCCCAAGACCTGGCACCCTCAGTTTGCTCCAATACCCTCCCTTGTTCCTCTTCTCTCCACCTAGCCAGACACCCTACTCCAACCCTGCTTCTGCACCTCAGCTCCCTCCCAGATCCTGTACCCCATCCCTATCCTAATTTTGGGCAGCCCTGTCTTGTGTACTGTACCCCTAATTTTTGTCCCTACACCAGAGCCTAAGGAGGTCCATAAAATCCACTAACTCTAGAACCGTAGAAAAGTAAATCTGGCCTATGGGAAGCCCTGAACCTCATTCCTCCCTTCCCTTCCCCTCACCTAGTAAGGCTGGGACACCAGAGGAGTGAGGTGTCTCAGTTGGGGCCACGTCAGTGAGCGTTGGGGAAGGAGTTTTTTTTGCTTCTCATTTGTGTGGCCCCCAACTGCTTTTTTGGGTCAGTGGGTCAGTGACCTCAGACCCAAAAAGGGTTCCCTCCCCCTGCCATAAATAAAGAAAACATTGAAACCTTTTGTGTTAGACATAATATTTTACTTTATTTAAAATGAAGCTTGATAAACTAACATGAGTAAGTTAAAATGCTTAATCTGTTTCATAATTTAAATTAAACTGTTCTTACTAGTCGCAGCTGATTCAGAAAATAAGGTCACCATACCCAGCAGGGTAGTTCTCAACCATGCCCCTTCCTCCGGAGGCCCCGCACCTTCCAGGCCATCCCGCGACCACTTCCAAAATTTGTGAAGTGACCCATCTTCCAAAATTATTGCCCACCCCTGCATTATATCTCAGTTTTACCTACCAGCTAGTGACTCTGCGGAGGGCTTTGTATGATATCTACTAAAAGATTTACCCAGGGTTGCTCAGGTCCTTAACTGAAATAATTTTTGTTTTTCTTCATTGAATCATTGCTCTGGGGTGGGGCTGGGGATGAGGGGATCTGTATGCAGGCTGCCCAGGGGAGAGAGACTACCCCACCTTGTCTCATTGCAGCAGTTTGGGACCAGGTGAGAAATGCCTCTCCATTGCCACCACAAGTGCAGTGGGCACAGTTAGGAGAGTGGTGCATGTCCCCTGGTTGGGGGGGCAGACAGCCACACAGCCACACAAACAGACAAACTATCTCAAATATATATTAGACTAGCAGGTGAGACCTGTTGTTGACCGGGCAAAGTCATTTTGCGTAGATTACACTTACAGGAAAGTTCAATAAATTAAATATATGTAATACCATTTTTTTATTAACATGTTTGCAAAAGGAAAGTAAAAGAACAGTTTGAAATTTGTAGGATTTCAACTTCAAACATTATTTATTTTATTGAATACTTACCATACATAGTCAATTTGAATCAGAAACTCTTTCCGTAACTAATTTTAATTATTGTGTGATTTGTAATAGTACAAATTTTCTTTACACTAAAATGACAGTTGAATAGTCAACTTGATTTTAATTTTAGCAAACATTTTTTATGAACTCTAATCATAATAGTCATGACTTTTTTTCTGATGAAAACCAAAAATAATTATTTAAATCCTTCACCCAGCATATTCTGGTATAAAAAGTAGCCCATTCAGTTAATTTAAGTGGCAGAATTATTTATGCAAAATTTGGTATCTGTATGTAATTGCCAAGTCTGACTTTATTTTGCACAAACAAATCCACAATCAAAGAAAGAAACAAACAAACTCTTCAAAATATTTAGAAGGGTAGCCGAGTTAGTCTGTAACAGGAAAAACTTAAAAAACAACAAATAGTCTGGTAGCACTTTAAAGACTAACAAAATATGTAAATGGTAGCTTTCGTGGGCACAGCCCACTTCTTCAGATGACTGCAGCTGTGCCCACAAAAGCTCATGATACCACATACATATTTTGTTAGTCTTTAAAGTGCTGCCAGACTATTTGAAAATATATAATAGATAGTTGTCCCTCTCTCTCTACCCCTCCTCCCCTGCTGCCCCAATGTGGGATATAGCTGTCCCGATCCCCATCTCTGTCCTCTTGCTGTCCCCCTGTGGTCATTATGTGGTACAACTGTCTCTTCCTTCCATTCCATATACCCTGTTGCTCCCATGTGGTCATTATATAGCAGAGCCCTTTCCATTTTATGGGAACCAATCCCAGTCTAGGCACATCCCATTTTCCTGGCACAACCAACCCCTTACCTTGCTTTAAGTTATGATAAGAGGAAACTAAATACCAAATGTAGTGGTCCTAACTTTTACCGTTTAGGAGGAGTTCTAGAAAAGACAGACAGACACAGTCACAGAAGGACAAACTCTTTCAAATTTATAGTAGATTTGCACAGTAAGAAAAACTTTATTTGCTTGTATCTTCATAGGAGTTTACAATTTACCAGTTATATGCATTGGATATTTTCTTGGTGGCTATCTAATGAAGAAATTCAAGATAAATACCAATCAAGCTGCCAACATAGCCTTTTGGATCTCTTTAATTGAATACCTGATCTTTTTTGCTGCCTATTTCACGGTCTGCGACAATTCTCCAGTTGCTGGTCTAACAGTCTCATATGAAGGGTATGTTCTTTAAGTTGTAATATTGAAATATTATATTGTAATAAAACAGTTTATAGTTAGAAATGGGCCAAGGAGGCCATAGTTTGGTTTTGCAAAAGCAAAACCAGGAACTTTTCAGATTCAGGTTCTAATTTATCCAATACATCAATGCCCAAAGGCAGTGAGTGTCTCTCTCCCTCCTCCACTTATCTTCCCACCCTGTATCTAAAATAATAATGTTGAGAAGTTAAGTCCACTGATACTCTCTTTGGAAGATGACCTACTCAAGGTCTCAAACAAAAGTGAAATTGAAGTGAAAGAGGCAAAAGTGCTGTGAACAGAGTTCATATGTTCTGAACACTTAAAATAGCCTGTTTGCCTCCAGTTTTCCAAAGCTTCCATGCAACAATACATAAACAAAAATGCACATACCATTGTGTGTCCCACTTGCATGTGGGACTAATAAAATTGTGTATTCAGGTAGTTGCAGGTATAAGTGCCCAGTACTGTGTCTGACTGACCGCATATTTAATTGCAAGAATTCGAGGGACCTAGAGGAGATTCCTGGAGATAATGTGGAATTTTTTATGCAGTTTCTTGAGTTGCAGGTTACCCCTAATCTGTATACATGTGCCTGTGTGTATACAAACCTAAACTTATATACATATGCACACATGAATGGATTATATAAGCACCACAGGCTATGAAAATCAAGTTGTACAGCAGTCATAGTATTTCACTGTGGATCATATAATGCAGGGGTCAGCAACCTTGTCAAACCAAAGAGCCAAACTACATCAAAATTCAGAACAAGTGGTTAACAAAGAGCTGTATAAGAATGCCCATTTTCATGTCTGAAAATATACAACTTAATATTATTGATAATTGATGGAATGATTTATAATAGCGTAAATGAACATTGTACTCACCGACTGTATATAATGGGACGTCTGCATCTTTTCGTGAATTTCTTTGACGCTTACATCATAACTGGTCAAATACAGCTTCATGTGCACATTCAGGCTGTCTTCTGTCAATCTTGTGGCAGGGGGCTGGGGATGTGGTGGTCCAGGAGTCTGGGAATGTAGGATTATGAGGGGTTCAGAGCAGGGGGTTTGGGTGTAGGATGGGTTCAGGGCACAGGGTTGGGGTATGTGTGGGGTGCAGAAGTGTTATGGCAGGGGACTGGGAATGTGGGGGTGCAGGAATCTAGGGATGTGGGATTATGAGGGGCTCAGAGCAGAGGGTTCAGGCCAATGGGATTGTGCTGGGGGTGGGAGTAGCCATAAGGCACCATTCCCCCTTCCCCTCCCGGTTCACAGTTTATGAAAAACTAAAGGTCCCGCAGCCACTTTTCTGAGCAGCGTGCAGGAGCAGGGCAAGCAGAGGAGTCTGCCTGGGGCCTCCCCGCTGCATCTGCATTCTGAATTGTTTTGCCTAGGCCTGCTGTAGTGCTAGTGCAGGCACCCTGCTGAGCGGGGGAGCAAGGGCTCGAACTTCAAGAGCCATATCTGACACCCTAGTGAGCCATACTTTGCTCACAAGCCATAGGTTGCTGACCCCTGATATAATATCTGAAGCCAAAACATTACACAAAAGAAAGACTAACCTTAAGGGTCTGAACAATGGCTGTTTTTATGTAAGAGGTGGAGGTCTGAGTCCTGGAAAAGCTCCTGACCTACTGAGAAGGTTTTATGGAGTGAATGTTAAGTTTTTATTGTCTGAGGTGGTGGTGAAAGTTGTTTTTTGAACTCTTGAATTGTTCACCTTTTAAATATATTTCAGAAAAGAACAGGTTTCATACATGGAAAAAACCCTACTTTCTGACTGCAACAGTGATTGTGATTGTTCAATTAAAGTGTGGGACCCTGTATGTGGGCAGAATGGAATAACGTATGTTTCACCTTGTCTTGCTGGTTGTAAAGCATCAGATGGAAAATATACAGTAAAGCACACCATCTTAAACTGCAAAATCTAGATAATGTGGACATTCTACCTCGATGTAGAGCCCCAGGTGGCACTGGGGAGTAATTACTTTGAATGGCCCCAGAGAGGAGCTATTTCAAAATAGCAGCAGTGGAGCATCCACACTACTGCTATTCTGAAATAGCAATTTCGGAATAAGCATTATTCCTCATGGAATGAGGTTTACAGATTTCAAAATAAGCCGTCCATTATTTTGAAATTATTTCAAAATACAGTAAACTTCCAATAATCCGGCACCTTTAGGACCCAGGGGGTGCCGGATTATCAGATATGCCGGAGTACCGGAAGGGGGGGGCTATGAGGAGTCGGCGGGGAACTGCGCAGCGTGGGAGAGGGTAGCACTATAGGACCAACCCGGCAGCACCCCAGCTGCTCTGCCCCCAGTTTCCCCTAAGGGGGGACATGATAGCGGTTTTCAAATATCTAAAAGGGTGTCACAAGGAGGAAGGAGAAAATTTGTTCCTCTTGGTTTCTGAGGACAGGACAAGGAGTAATGGGCTTAAAGTGCAGCAGGGGAGGTTTAGATTGGACATTAGGAAAAAATTCCTAACTGTCAGGGTGATCAAATATTGGAATAAATTGCCAAGGGAGGTGGTGGAATCTCCCTCTCTGGAGATATTTAAGAACAGGTTAGACAGACATCTGTCAGGGATGGTGTAGACAGAGCTTGGTCCTGCCTTGAGGGAAGGGGGCTGGACTCAATGACCTCTCGAGGTCCCTTCCAGTCCTATGATTCTATGAACAGTAGCATCGCTGTGATTGGATGCAGGGGGAGCGCACGGCTCTCACGGTTAATGTTGTGAGCAACCAGCATGCACCTCACTTCACGGGCCCTGACTTTTCGTTTATCTCACTTTAGTAATATTGGTAGGAAAAAAACCTATGATGACGGAAACCGGTAGACTCTGGCTACCCTTGTGTGTGGACAACGGCAAACAAACTATCTGGCGGGCCACACAGTGAAACCCCCAATGGGCTGTAGGTTGCCCACCACTGCCCTAGAGCATCTGGGTTTTTTAAGGAACATAATATCATCAGTTATTTTAAAATAACTGTGCCGTGTAGACACACCCTTAGTCTGTTATTTGCTTTCAGTGGGACCTCATGATACGACTCAGTATAAGCATATTGTTGTGGGCCTAAATGATTAAAACCATCTTTTAACAGGTATTTGAAAATTGCACCTGTATTGCAGCTTCAGGATTTTCATCTGGAAATGTCTCTGCAGTTCTCGGCCAGTGTGACAAAGATGCAAATTGTGACATGATGCTTCATTACTTTTTAATATTAACAATAGTCTGCAGCTTCATTTTTTCCTTAGGAGCCATCCCTGGATATATGGTTTTAATAAGGTACAGTAGAATGCCCTTACTGAAAGCACCCTCCAAAATTGTTTATACTGAGGTGGTGCATCCCTATCATTTGGTGGAGGTTCTCTGGCTTCTGATGCTGATTGTAAGGGTTTATATTTCATGATAAGTCTTCTCAACTTTGGAAGGTCATTTTGTTTCTGCTCCGGATCAATGGGAGCTCACTGAGCCATTACACTGAGACACCTTGGCCAGGTGTATAATAAATGTAATTTACTGATCACATCTGCTCAGCATTCATATAAACACAGCCTTCATTTAACTTCCAAAGCCTGGTCCCATCTTGCGATGGGTTCATTGCAAAGCAGTGGATGGTTCAGGTTAAACCTCTAAAATCCGGGACTCTCTAGTCTGGCAACATCTGTGGTTTGGGACCGCTCAGGTCCCCAGGGTACCAGACCAAGGAGGTCCCACCACTACTGTGGGATCTCTGGTAGTTCAAAAGTCCTAGTCAAGGATCTTTAAAAGACCTCCTCTTTCATGAGAGCTACTTAATCAGGATGATGGAGCCTGGTAATGAATGGCTTAGGCAGTTGGATTCTGGAGTAATTTGATTGAATAACTAACACCTTTGTTTCATATGTATATTTCCAATATTGCTCAATAGACAATGCAATTATCACCTAGGTCTCTAAAGCCTGAAGAAAAGTCATTTGGTGTGGGTATCCATGTACTTGCTTCAAGAATATTTGGTAAGAAATATTTTAAACCATGCTGTGAGTGTAAACAAGGACAAATGCAGAATTGTATTTACAATATGATCTCCACTTACCTGAAAAAACCTCCCCTGAACTGCTGGTACAGGAGGCATGGCTAGTTACACATAGGCTTGGCTGTAGCGTTTCATCATCTGGGTGCAAATTAGAGCAGTTTTTATTCTTGGCTAATTTATGCCAAGGACTTGAGCAGGCCAATGGGTGTCCAGTAGCCAAGGTGGAGGAAGGCTTTGCCTTCCCTAACTGCCAGGCATGGCCTCACCCACACTCCGCCCTCAGAACACTTGCTGTAGGCATTCTGGGGGAGGAGTGTTGCTGCCCCCAGCACCCACCCTCCTTGAGCTCTGGGGGCTGGGCAGGCAGGAGGGCACAAGCACTCGCCTTCTCATCTCTTCCCCTCCCTGCAGAGGTGATGGGGAGGGGGAGGAGGTGATGGGGCCTTAGCAGATGGAGCAGGCTGTAGGTGGGGTTGAGGGCCTGTTTCTCTCAGCCCCAGCAGCACCAACCGCTCATGACTTCTTAAAGCCATTTTGTGCCATTTCTCTCCTGCCAAATGTTCACTGACTACAGTTCAGCTGGAAGAGAAAATCTCTTCCAAGGTATCTTAGACATTTCGGTTTGATGAGCGTTGGCAAATGTTGACATTTGAATGGTAACTACAGTATAGTTGTGGGGTTTTTTACACTGCAGTGTGTGTAAAATGCTGAACAGGCATCAAGAAAGAAACTACTTGGGTGGGAAGAGGAGAAGGAGGCTAAGGAAGGAGAGCAGCTTGTCTGAACTATAGAGAAAACAGAAGATACAAACAGATGGGGAACTCTAATGATCCCATATTTATTCCATTGGTCAAAAGAAAAGTATGCCTCTTACAAAAACATTGAAAATACCTTATTTATCCTCACTGTCACACCTTTCTCTCCCTTCTAGCTGGAATTCCATCTCCGATTTATTTTGGAGCTTTGATAGACACAACATGTTTGAAATGGGGATCTCTGAGTTGTGGTGGTAAAGGAGCGTGTAGGATGTATGACATTGTCACATATAGGTACATTTTCTTTTGTAAGCCTACCTATATCTATTCCTCTGTACTTAGCTCCTCCTTATAGCATCAGTGCTCTTGATCAAACCACAAGCATTGGATTATAGATTTGGCCATGCACATATTCATCAGTATCAACCTATTTCCCTGTTAAGGTTACCTTCGCTGAGAACTCTGTTTCTTAAGAGCTTCTTACCCAAAGTTTATCATTATTGCATTATGCCTGTGTATCACCTGTTTCATCATCAAACTTCCTAAAATGCTTTATTATGGTAAACACATTATTATTCTATTTAATTAATTAGTATTACCACAGTGCCAGTGGGCCCTAGCGATGGACCAGGACCCCACTCTGTTAGGCACTGTACGAAAACAGAACAAAAAGACAGGCCTTGCCCCTCAGGGCTTCCATTTCTTAAGTGCAGCTGCTGCTGTTGGCAAAGTGGCAGCTGTTTTAACAGCTGACAACAACATTATATAACAGCTTTGAATAGGAAGTGAAGGAGAAAGTCTATAAATGGAATCACAGATGTAGTTCAGGTAGGGAGAATGTAGTTATCCAAGTTGGAATTTTTTCTACGATACCATGGCGATAGCCCTTTGTAGTTCTACAAGAAATGCTTTAAAAGCACATGTATTCAGCTCCTCATATGTGTCTCATTGAAAAAAAAGGCCCCTTCAAGAGACCACTATTCAATAGACCTTTGTTAGGATATGGGTTCAGTATAGGCTTGGAAGTAAGAAAGCTGCCTCCTAAATAACCTAAGCGTTACCTCATCTGTGTACTGATCCAGGGTATGTTGTGATCCAAAAGAATCACAGCCCAAGCCATTGGCGTACTTACAGAGCAGCCAGACTTTACCCTGACGAGAACAAAAAACTATATTTCAATGCTGCAAGCAGACATTTTTAATTAATTGCACCTTTTATTCCAGATGGCTCTATCTGGGACTGCAAGCGATATTACGTGGAGTGTCCTACATCCCATGTGTGTTAATCCTCCTTCATTTAAAGAAACAACTTAAATCGTCTCAAGAGAAGACCTTAAAGAGTGTGCCAATGGCAATGGAGGACATAGAAGAGCAAAATGACTGAAGAGAGAAGCATCCCAAAAGCTCAGATTTTTGCAGGGCACATCATTAAATATAACGTAAACCTGAACACATCTTCACTAAGGATTGGTGACTGCAACTAGTGAACTCACTTGCACCGAGACAAATATAATTACACATAGCCAGTTCTCAGGTCCTTTATTAAAAATTTCAAACAGAAGACAGTAGACAGGAAAAAGGGGTGCAAATGGCATACAAGAATAGAAACTCTCAATATTATACTAACATAGGAAATGTCAGAGGCTAGTGATCCGAGGATAGTTCTGTGAACCTAATACAGCTGAGTTGAAATCATGGCTCCATTGAAGTCAGTGGGACTTTTTCCATGGAGTTCAGTAGGGCCAGGATTACATACTTGAATTCTTCATCCAGTTCTGCCACACACTTGTTTTGTGACTTTAGGCAAATCATTTAACAGCTGTGTGCCTTTGTTTCCTACAATGTAGGTAATACTTATTTACCCTGTTGGGAGGTGTTACTGCTGTGGTCAAGCTCCCTTTGCTAGACTCTCACAGCTTGCTGTTTCTGGACGCCAGCACTGGACCTGTGTACTTCTGGCTTGTTAAGTGCAGGCAGAATCCAAGCTACATCTCTAGGCAAACCCTGAGAGCATAGATCCTGCATTCAGCAATCCTTTCCGAGAGCTGGGGCGTTGCAGCCAACTGCTTAGTTCTTGAGACTAGTGCCAGCTCCCCTGAATAGCTTAATCATACCAATTCCAGACCTCCAACCTTGCAGGTAATATACAATTTATCCCTTCAAGGACACAGTGCAAATATACACAGATGATGCAGAAGGATTTCTAACACAATGACTTTTTTCTTTAGACAGTACAAAAGATATATAGATTTAGGACAATAAAACACACTTGCACAGGACTCCCTATGGGTATGTCTACACTACCCCGCTAGTTCGAACTAGCAGGGTAATGTAGGCATACCGCAATTGCAAATGAAGCCCGGGATTTGAATTTCCCGGGCTTCATTTGCATAAGCGGGGCGCTGCCATTTTTAAATCCCCGCTCGTTCGAACCCTGTGCCGCGCGGCTACACGCGGCACGAACTAGGTAGTTCGAACTAGGCTTCCTAGTTTGAACTACCGTTACTCCTCATTCCACGAGGAGTAACGGTAGTTCGAAGGGGTTCGAACGAGCGGGGATTTAAAAATGGCGGAGCCCCGCTTATGCAAATGAAGCCCGGGAAATTCAAATCCCGGGCTTCATTTGCAAGTGCGGTATGCCTACATTACCCCGCTAGTTTGAACTAGCGGGGTAGTGTAGACATACCCTATGTTATTTCCTCAACACTTTTAAGATTTCTTTGGGCTGTGGGTTGGTGTCCTTTCAGAATTCCAGGTTCACTCTGCTAGCCATACTCTTCCAGTTCATGGCTTCTCCTTCAAATCATGGAGTCTCTCTGACTTTGCAATCCTTTTTCTTCAGCTTTGGTTGGTCACACAGTCAACAGGTCCCCCTTCCCTCTTAAAAGTCCCTCTGTTTCTCCCTGTCTCTCATAGAGTCCCTCTGTATTTTTTAAAAGTTGAATCTACACCTCAGTCACTTTGTTCTCCCTCTATGGAAATTCTGCTGCTCAGCTCCCTGGTCCCTGCAGGCAAGTCATGTCCGACTGGATCTCCCAGACTTCAGCCATAACATTGTTTTGAAGTGCTCTCATCTGAATGGGAACTAATCCTGTTAATAAATCTCCATTGTTCCTAGTTTGGAAGGGATGTAACACCAACCTTGATAGCATATAGCGGACTCTGCATCCACTGAAGTATTCAATGGTACAGCTCGTGCTGCTTCATCCCCTTAGCCCATCAACCAGGATTGGGTTGTTGTGCAAGCATCAGCCACCTACATCTGTTTGAAGTGACATAAAGGTCCACCTGTTTATCATCTTCTTTCATGCAATCCACTTGAGACTTGCTCAGCTTTCCCCCAGGGTCTCTTTCCTACCTCCCTTTTCTCCTGTGCTATCTCCACCAGATCCCATTGCTTCCTCACTTCACCTTCATCCTGCTTAACAGGAGCAGGTGTGGGGGAGGGAGGCTGCTCCAGCCCAGTGGGGCTGAAGCAGCAACCCCACCCTCCACAGCTGGGCTGGAGTGCCCCCGCCTGCAGCCACTGAGTCTGCCCCAGACAGGGGGCTGCTCTGCTGGCTGGGCCCACTGCAGATGGGGGCTGCTCTAGCTCCTCCCATTAATTGTAACCGGTAAACCAGTTAACCATTCACATGCCTCAGTTTAGTTGCCGAGTGCCAGAAATCCTGTTAGCCAGTGGCTGCCAGATTTAAGGCAGGTAAATTTCTGGTATAGACCGGAAACATACTCCCTCCAATAGCAATCATCCTTTGTGGAAAAGCATACTGGCCAGTCTCACTTTCCACTCTAACCAGTAGGTACATCCCTTTGGTAATTTACTACAAAAAGAAGAAAACTGCTTGTGCCAGAATAGTCATCATGTGCCAAATACTATGGTGTGTTGGTCGAGGGTTTTCCCCCAGTTAGACTAAGTACTTGCTCACTCTCTTCCCACCTTCTTGCCAAAGACCTCGTGGACCATCAACAGGAGATATTAGTGTTGCCTTTACATAATGCCAGGTTTCAAAACATAGATGGGGTTTGAATAAGAGTTTTCCTTCTAGGTAGACTGCCCACTTAGGAGAACGGGCCCTACTTTCCCTGAGCTTTCTGTTTTTTTTAAAGGCACCAGATACTCATTCTTCATAGCCTCACTTTTAGTAAGAACACCTCCACAATATGAAGTTGTCTGTCATAGACACTAGCCTTTTTAGGCATTTTTATAGATGTTAGGAGATCCTCTGTGTGGGGGGAGAAACCCACACTGGCTAGAACTGCCCTTTTGGAAGGCGCATTCATTAACATAGGAATTTCATAAAAATCAACCAAAATTCATAAATCGTACATAGATCACTCCAAATCATTACATGAGAATTAGTTAAAGGTGTTTGTATGCAGTCTTGATGGTGAAAAGTTCTCAGCATTTGTTTGTGATGTGGCAAAAGGATACACCTAAAAAGGAAATAAAAAATGACACTTGTGAGGCTTGGGCTACCCTATAATGGCATAGCTATGACAGTCAGAGGTAAGTGAACAACCAGATCACTGACCAGCACAGCTAATTCTAATAAAAAACCCACCATTGATATAGCTATGGTGACAGAAGTGCACTTTTGTTGGCATAAGAGAACATCATTTGGGAAGGTGATATTTGTACACCTGCAGGAAAACTTCTGTTAGGGTACATGGTGTCTACATTGGAAGACTATGCCAGCATAAATATGCCAACATAGGCACTGTAGTGTAGAGAGAACCTGAATTATACATAAGGAAAAAACAGCTTTAATTTTCCAATTGTATTGAGCCAGCTAGCAGATTTCCCCATGGTTTTCCAGTTTGTACTTGCCATGGTAAATGATAACATTCACTACTATAGCATGCTTTGTGCCATCTGTAGTTAGATGAGGGCCTGAAACACCTGTTCCCCACTCTGCCTGTTCCCCACAGCTGTTCCCCACTCTGGCATTCCAAGTGCAGAAGATGAGGACCCACAAAGAGCTCAAAAGGGAAAAAAACACCTTTGCCTCTACAGACACTGGTCATAAAACTTCCCTCCAGAATCCCAATACACAGATTTTGGGGAATTGCTGCGACCATCAAGTGATTTTTTATCCCTAAAAAATCAGGGGTGAACACTTGAACCCACCCCCAGGGTACCCCAAGCTCTTTTGCCACAAAAGAGCTTGAAAAGAGAAAAACAAGCTGCAGTCTCTAGTAGCTGATCTCCCAGTCTGAGGCACGCAAATACACACAAACTTAGGGTATGTCCACACTACCACCCTAGTTTGAACTAGGGTGGTAATGTAGTCAACTGGAGTTGCAAATGAAGCCCGGGATTTGAATTTCCCGGGCTTCATTTGCATGTTGTCGGGCGCCGCCATTTTTAAATGTCCGCTAGTTCGGACACCGTACCCCGCGGCTACACGTGGCACGAACTAGGTAGTTCGGACTAGACTTCCTATTGGAATGAGGAGTACAGGTAGTTCAGAATAGGAAGCCTAGTCCGAACTACCTAGTCCGTGCCGCGTGTAGCTGCGGGGCATGGAGTCCGAACTAGCGGACATTTAAAAATGGCGGCTCCCAGCAGCATGCAAATGAAGCCTGGGAAATTCAAATCCCAGGCTTCATTTGCAACTCCGGTTGACTACATTACCACCCTAGTTCGAACTACAGTGATAGTGTAGACATACCCAGACAGACCTTCCAGGACATAAGAATCAAATCATCACCTTAAAAAAAGTGATTTTTTTTGTTACAGACCAAAAGATAAACTTGATAAAGCATACTTGGTTGCTAGATGTCACAGAGCAACTAAGGAAAACAAATTAAAACACAGAGAAAATTCTCTGGGCACAGTGCTCAATGGTAAATGGGGATGTGAGGCATAGATTCACACAAAGCAGTTCAAACCAAACCACAAAATAAAGAAAACTTACCCTGAACGTGACTAGATTCACTTTTCCCCTTACTTACTTCCAATTTTCTCTTTGTTCAGTCCACTCCCATGCCCCAAATTCCTTGGAGACATGGAAGTCCTTCCTGGGTTCAAATAATTCTGTGTCTTTCAACTCCTGCTTTTTCTCTTCCACACAAAGAAAGCAGGCAAGGGATCTATATCCAATTGAAATTTCAACACTCTATCTCTGTCCCCCCTGGCCAACACCTTTTCTAGCTATCTAAGTTTAACCGGTTAGTCACTGGGTGCTGGTCAGCACTCCTCATGTCCATTACAGCTATGGTCAAGACAGGCAAGCCCTGCTCACAGAAATTGGCAAGAATAGGGCTGATATTACAGAAACCTCATACGTAAGAGGTACTAGGCATAGGCTGTAAACACATTCCAGAGGGGTTATAACAGAATACCTCATTAAGAAACATGTTGGTACCAACCTCCCCCCACACACAAATAATATACATACCAACCTACGTTCTGGACAGGGTCTAAATTGTCTGCATGATGGATATCATGGAAACCCTGGTTCTGTGCGGTAAGGAGTGGTAACTAGTTAACAGAGGCTGGCAACCTGATACGTCAGGAGTGATATGTAACATGTTTGTACCTGTGTATAAAAGTGCACCCCAAAGGGTGGTCATTGGTTGACTGAGGGGGTAATGCTAAAATCCAGGTATTGATTGGGTGTTAGTCCATTGTCACAGTGTACATATTTATAGTGGCACAGCAGCAAATCTTTTTGCTGACAACTATTATTGTATTTCACTTGGCAATAAACCTAACTGAGTGCTTTTGATCCTTATCTGATTTGTGGTTTTGGGGGCTTTCTGAGTTTGTCATGTAAACTAATTGTGCATGGTTAACACATTAGACAGAGGAGGACACACACGCACACATGCAGCTAAAAGTTTACCATCATAGATGGAGTAGAAGACCTGTCAGGAACCCATCAGGACAACCCCGCCTGACTGATGACACCATCAGCTTTGATGGAATTTTAGTAATGTTTTTATGTCTCCCATTTAGATGATGCTGTACTTAAGGTCTGAACTAGTGCTGCAGGCAACTATCTGTCAGAAGTTGGAACTCCAGTGAGCAAGCTCTCCTGAGGTGTCTTAAAATATGAAGGGGGGAGCAAGGAAAGAAACAGAGACATAAAGACTTCTTGCATCTCCATTTAGCATCTCCTTTGGACAAAGTGATTTGTAAATTGCTTCTTTTTCCCCCTCCCATATCTAAGGCTTGTCCTGTCAGGTATATTATTATTGGAGCTTAAAATGCAGAGAACTCACACAGACAGCATGATCTCCTATTATAAATGATCCAGATATATCACTTTAATGAAAGTAAGCCAAAATATTAAAAGTGAG